TCAATTGAAGAGGCAAACTCATGTTTCTTATAAATATATAACTTTATATATTATATGTATTTACAGTATGTACAGTATACAGATTTTTAAGTGTAGCAGGTTTGGAAGGAGATGTTTTCAAAACAGAGGATTACTACTTATTCAGGTGGGTTCCTGTTTTACCTAGAACTCGGCTGTAGACAGCATTCCAGGCCCAGGTTTAAGTAGACGCCAAAGGGCAGAGGAGAGTTGCTGGGACGCGGCTCCTCCCTTCCCCAACATCCTGGCCTTCTACTAGCACCAGCTAACGTAGCCTCACGTTCATCCCCAAAATGGGCAAAGCCCCGAGGCCTGGGCACCGTGTCTGGTACCTTGTTGGCACTCGAGCTCTTGAAGGAATGAGCAGTGACTGCCTCAAGTCCCCAGCTCCCAGACACCTTCTCCTCAGCCCACGAAGCAGTCACAGAGCTGAGGCTGCACCGGAAGCCAAGGCCCTGGAGTTTCCCCCATCGTCGGCAGAGCTGTCCACACTCCCAGGCGCCGGCTGAATTCCGTTCCCACCGCATGCTATTTCTTCCTCGTGCCTTGGAATCCGGAGCCACCATTTATTTATCTTCCAAAAGTTTCTTCACATTCAACTAGTTCATCTATCGTACGCAGCAAATCTTCGAAAGAAGGCCTTCCCTCTGGTTTCTTCAAAAAAAAAAGTCAAAGAGAAGTTGTGAGTTTCAGAATCCATTCCCAAGAAAACTCTCCCTGCTCAAATCCTGTGGAACCCTGCCCAGGCAAGACTCAGGGGTTGGGGAAACACAGGCTGGAAGTCTGTGCCCTACATAACACCATGGCTGCCAGACTCCCCTTTCCTCCCCTGCTGTCACGTCCCTGCTCAGGGAACTACTAGAGCTCCATCGTGCCTAGGAAATCAAGTCTTACTCATCGGGTCGGCCCTCTGTGACCTGACCCTCCCCCACCTCCTTGTCACCTAACCTCATTTCCTACCATAAGCCTCACTCTGGCTCTTTGTTAAATCAGACTTGGCTCCACCCTCGGGGACACACACCATGTTTACAACCAAATCCTGCGCTTTGTTCCTGTTGCTCTCTCTGGTACTGCTTCCTGCCCCGTCAGCCTCTGCCCACCCTACGGGTACTCGTGGGAGGGAGCCTCAGCTTTGGTGCCAGATGGGCCTCTGATACTCCGTGGGGAACTGGTCCTGGGCAAGGACCACCCTCTCCTATCAAATGGTCATGGCCCAAGTATCTACACCTCCAAGGGTTACTCTGAATGCTAAACCTAAAGGACTCCATACACAATATATGTGAACGCCGTTCGAGAATCTGTCTAGTGTTTAATCTCTTCTATGGAGGCGACATTTCACTGCTTCTAGAGATTAAGTAAGATAACTAGAGACACTGAGATCAAAGAAGAACTCTTCCCTCGAAAGAGTGATGCTTCAAACCCACGGCTACTGCACGGGAAGGAGGAGCAACTTTTCCAGGTTTGTTCCCCAGCCCCTGGCTGTGATGGCGCTCCCACTTGGGAGTGAGGCATCAGCCTGAGTGTGTTAAGCTAACTCTTAGCATTCTCCATCTCTTCAGATGCTTCTCAATATTTAGAACGGAGGCGAAGACTTGGCTTCCTGCCGGAGCTTGACGGAGGCGTGGCCTCACCAGGCTGTGAGGACAGTACCTTCCCCATCCACCGGGCCAACCCTGGATGTTTTACAGATCATAAGACAACACAAAGAAGTAGATACCTCCTGCCAACACCTCAGCATCACCTCATACAAATATTTGGATGCCAACTTTGGCCGGTGGAGTCGGTGGCCTCGAGTAACCATGGTTACCACTTCGTAATTGGTGTTCTTCTCGAAGGGCATCCTGCCTTCTGTGAATACTTCCCACATTAGAACACCTACAGAATGATAAGGTTACTCAATGAAGTGTCTGCTTCCTCTTCAGAGGGGAGGGGAGGAAACTTGCATCATGGACCTTACCAAATGACCAGACGTCTGACTTGCTGCTGAAGCGGCTGTAATTAAACACTTCTGGGGGACACCACTTCACCGGGAACTTGGCACCAGAGGAGCTGGTGTACTGATCATCCAGAACATACCTAGGGTGAGACACACGGTCGCATGTCAGACGTGGGCCTTCATTTCCCCCTTACAAAGACAAAAGAAGACACTAAGTGAAGTCTACCACCACCTAGCTGAAGCGAAACGTTCAGCTCATGGCCTGGCCTGGTGATGTCTATCTCCACAGCACAACTTAAGGCCATGAGAAGACAACCTCACAACCCTAGTGTGCACACCTTCATTGTTCTGCTGTTCCTCTTTCTTTTTAATGAGGCACAGGGGCAGAATACCATACAACTGTTGCAAACTTGTGGGTGTGTGATTTTTGGTCTCTGAATAAAATTTCACCCAAAGGCCCTGTGTGCAAAAGATCTAAAGCAGAGCTCCTTAAAGGAAGTGGTAACAAGTGACTGGAGATACCCATGCTCTGAGCCCCCACAGTTCCACGGAGTGCAAATAAAAACTATAGCATACGAAAAGAAGTGAGAAAAAAATCAGAGGTGAAAAAGAGTACAAAAAGATGATAAATATATTCAGATACCATAACACCATCCATCCACACATACTCAATGTTTTATTCCTTTTCTTTTTTTTTTTTTTTTTTTTTTTTTTGGTTTTTCGAGACAGGGTTTCTCTGTGTAGCTTTGCGCCTTTCCTGGAACTCACTCGGTAGTCCAGGCTGGCCTCGAACTCACAGAGATCCGCCTGGCTCTGCCTCCCGAGTGCTGGGATTAAAGGCGTGCGCCACCACCGCCCGGCCTGTTTTATTCCTTTTCTATGTGAACATATATAGGCCCATCCAGAAAGAAACATGGAAACTGTAACACTGACCACTCCCCGGAAGAATCCTTGATACTAATCCTTGATACTTGATGGCTGTGAGGACTTCAGCACCTATTCATCAGAGGGAATATTAATGCACTATATATTTAGATGACATTAATTTTAAAGCTGCCATGTGAAAAGATTCAAAGAAGTGCACAAATGTCCTCTTGGAGATGGTACAGATAAAGATGGTATCAGGCAGACAATGCCATCTTGGGCTGGATCACATACTTGTCAGTCTGGTGAGTTTGAATTTAGTGCATCAAGAGTAGTTTTACAAGGACTGGTATAAAAGCACCAACTTCCTGAAAGCCAAATACGTGAAGAGTGACTATAAGAAAGTGGAGGGCCGCCTGTCAGATGCAAAACATCTTACCTACAGCATGTAGAGAGGACTGGGTAATTAGGACTTTGAGAGTCGGAAGCTGCCAGGGATAGCGCTCTGGTCTCCCTAGGCCAGCATCTTCTTGGGAGCAAGTCTTAGCCCCAGAGGACCCAGTACTTCTCTGCCTTCATAACTGTTCTCAGATCTGCCTCTGGACCAACTGCCTGGGCCCTCTTCTGGTTCCCTAGGCAGCTGACACTAGTCCCAGACTTCAGGTGGTACCACCCCTACTTCTTTTATCTTGTGGCTATTTCCTGTGGTGTCCGCTCAATGTTCCCATGTGAGAAAAGTCTTTCTGGTCACCAGATCTCCAGTGGCTACCTCCACCCCTCAATCTCTTTCAAAGAAGACAGCAAACTCTTTCTGAGAAAGAAAGATGACACAGAGGATTTCGGATTCTGCAGGATACACAGTCCCTGTGACAGCTCAAGGTTTTGCCTCTGCAATGTGAAAGTGGCCAGCCACCCACAATTGGTCAAGCTTGTGTGTCCCAATAACACTATGTTTTTTTTTAATGGACAATGACTCAAATATCAGATAATTTTCATGTGTCCTGATAGGCTTTTAGATTCCTTTTCACTGTTTTTTTTAATGAAAAGCCCATGGTTGACTCACAGGATAGACAAAATGACACAGATTGAACTGACAGGCCATCACTTGCAGACCACCCCCTGCTCTGTCACAGTCATGGGCTCCAGGTCTAGGTATCTCCCTTCTCTGGCCTTTAAGCTGCATACAGGCAGGACCTTCAGTTTGGACTCTGCTTTGGTCCACATTGTTAGGCTTCTCACACAGCACCTGACTTGTAATATATACAGAGGAAGACAAAATGCTTCTTAAGAGTCTATTCTAACACTAATAAAGTTACAAAAGTTAAGAGATTAAAAAAATTGCAAACACGGCTATCCTAAGCACTGGCTCACCAAACACATTCCAGAAGATTCTAAGAATCTACTTAGTGAGAGAGAGAGAGAGAGAGAGAGAGAGAGAGAGAGAGAGAGAGATATTTAATAGGTTCTAGTACCATCTAGTGGATAGAATGACTAATACCACAACATACAGTTAGTTTCATTAACCTCGAAACAGCTGAAGACATTTCCCTTTTGCTTTATTGGTGCAAGTTATTCCCACATTAATTTTTAAAAGGCACAGTCTCCGGTAGCCCAAGCCGGCCTCAAATTTGGTATATAGCCCAGAATGACTTTGAAATCCTGATTCTCCTGTCTCTACCTCCAAGTACTGGATTATAAGCAAGTATCACCACAACCAGGGCCCAAATTGTTGTTTCAGTTTGGGGGGAGGGTATGTTTGTGGGTGTTATGGGTACATATAGAGAGAGCAGAGGACAATCTTGGGTGGTGTGATCAGGAACATGGTCCACCTACCTTGGGATAGGTCCTCTCAATGGCCAGAGTTCACCATTAATCTAGGCTGGCTAGCCACAGAGCCCCGGAATCCCCCAGTCTCTGCCTCCCCAGTTCTGGGATTATAAGCCTGGGCCACCACTCCCAGAATTTTTTCTTGGGTTCTGGGAAAACTCAGGTTCTCATGTTTAGGATGCAAGTAGTTTATCTACTGAGCTATCTCCCAAGACCTTCCCATGCTTATTAATTATTCAAAATTATGTGATTCGCACTTAAGAGCACACAGTTCTCAGCCATACCTGGCCATTCCAAAATCAGATACTTTCACAACTCCTGCTTCATTCACTAGACAATTTCTGGCAGCCTGGAAAACAACATTATGATGTTACATTTATTAGAAAGTCCTGCAATAAAGGAAAAAACAGAAGTCCGATTTCTAGTAAATATAACAAAGTCAACAACAGAAAAGAGTAAATGTGTTGTGGAATATTAGTTTAAGATGTGTTACATTTGCTTATGCTGTGGAATATTTGTTTAATGACCCAAAGACGTGCTGCATTCTTTTATGCTGCATTTGTTTAACTCTGTAAAGCTGTATTACTGTGTGTGTCTACAACACTTGATGGGCTATTAAAGAGCTGAATGGCCAATAGCTAGACGAGAGAGAGAGAGAGAGAGAGAGAGAGAGAGAGAGAGAGAGAGAGAGAAAAACAGGTGGGGCTGCCAGGCAGAGAGAGTAAATAGGGGGAGAAATCTAGGAAAGAGAGAGAAAAGCAAGAAAAGGAGGAGAAGGATGCCAGAGGCCAGCCACCCAGCCACCCAGCCACCCAGCCACCCAGCCACCCAGCCACCCAGCCACATAGCCAGGCGTGGAGTAAGAAGGGAAAAAAGACATATAGAATAAAGAAAGGTAAAAGCCCAGAGGCAAATGTAGTTAAAGAGAAATGGGTTAATTTAAGTTAGGAAAGCTGGCTAGAAACAAGCTAAGCTAAGGTCGGGCATTCATAAGTAAGAATCAGTCTCTGTGCATTTATTACAGAGCTGGGTGGTGGACCCTCATAGAGTAAAAAAACAAAACAAAACAAAACCAAAAAACAAACCAACTACATAAATGTGTCCATATAAATTGTTTACATCCCAATAGAAGGTACCTCCAACATGAATCTGAAATAACCTGGAGAAATAAAGATTAGAAATGCCACAAGGTATTACAACATATCTTCAACATCACACTTAAAGAGGCCTGATGGACATTCCAACCTTCTTCCCTGACCAGGCATATTCTTAGTAGACTGTGTGATTTTTCTCACGGACAATGACTATACCTCTTGAAGTCTGTAATCTAGATTAAAGATGAATTCTCTCTAGGTGACAGTAGAAACACAGTCACCAAAGTGACAAGTAATCTGTGAGTGTTCCCCTCAACTGTCAAAAGAAAGGCTGTGTGTAACAGGATTGGCTTTATCATGTACCAGGTTTCTAATATATTAAGACATAATATACTCAGTTGGTAAAACACAAACACGTAGTTTTTGTTTTTTGATCTAGTTTTCAAAGTTATGTGATTCAATAAAATAATTTGGTACAATGACACAGTACTTCTCAGAAGCAAGATAATGATATTTTTAACACCACAACCCACGGGACGAGGTGTAGTTTTCTCTTTGACTCTTGAGATGCTTATTTTTTTTTGTGTGGGGCAACTCCCCTTACACGACCTTCCTTCTTCTGAGCACATTTGAGAGCCTCTTCTCAAGTGAGAGTTAATGCCCATGTCCTGAATTACCTGCACCCTCCCATAAGGACAGCCACAGTACTGTCACTCAAAAGCCCATGACATTACTTTACCAGGGAACAGGCAATCAGACTCTTCCTTTAAAGTGTGGGAAAAACCTGCCAGAGTTTATTATCAGTATCACAGGCCCCAAAAAACATCAAAATTCACTTTCAAGGAAATAAATTCTATGCATGCAAGTGCAAGAGTCGTGAAGATGTTCAACTGTTTTGGAAGAACAAAAACAAGGACAATGCTTAATTCGTGAGTTTCAGTATGACAATTAGTCTTTGTCACAGTTACACATCAAAACTAGTGATATATATCATGTCTGCTTTACAAAGCCCTTTGCCTCAATTATAGGCCATGAACTTTAAAATAGCGTAGTAAGCAAAACAATGATGTGTAAACTGCAAATCCAGTTTACAGAATGAATAAGGTGCTAGCCCATAACACACCTAGGAGATCAAGTCTTCCATTGCCAAATCCTCAGTTTGTTACTATGCTTTAAATCCAGAGGATAACATAGCAGTTAGAGTACTGATCCTAGTGGCAAACTCTCTGGGTTCAAATCCTCCCCCCACCACTTCCCTGACTGCTGCTGATTGTTTTATCCAATTCCACTCCTTTCCTTTGTCTGTAAAATGGAAACAGGAATGACATTTGGTTGTTACGATGACCAATCGAGTCTGAATTTGCATGGTATGAAAGCGATGTGGATCCACACTCCATCACAAGGAAGCTAAAACCGAAGTGGGGAGGGGGCCGTGCAAATTCCCTCAGTTTTGATGGAAGAATCAAGGAAGGTGGACTGTGCTACTTCACACTGAAAACAGAGGCATTTGTGAAGAATGGCTGGGGAGAAACAGAAGGGAGAGAAGAATGGAGGGGAAGTGGGAACTGAGAAGTATCTCCACCACAGTCACGTAGAACAGAGATTTGTTTTGTTCTGTTTCCCTAGTATTTTCAAAAGGAATGAAAACTCCCGGAATTCCCTCTTCGTTGAGAGATAATGGACATGAGCTTGGGATTTCTCTGGTAATTTCTGTTCACAATGTGTAAAGTGGGAAAGAGCCTGAGAGCTGGTCAGAAGGTCGGGGCTAAGCCCAACTTCCCCATTTCTCACAATAGGCAAGCCACATTCACGTCACCAAGGCTAACATCCTTATCTGTGACACAATGACAGGGAGTGAGTCTGTTGTGACTTGGTATCTCCTGGGAATTTTCCAGAGCTCAAATAATTCATTCGTGGAAACTTGCTTGGAGATATTAAGTCTGTAAGTTATGAGATTTAATGAAGGCCTTTTCCTTTAAAATTATCAAGTGATTGAAATTTACCAAGTTTTAAAATAATGAAATCTTGCTAAGGACAAAGACAGGGGGCTAACACCACACAGCTCACTGGCTAACGCAGTGTGGCAAAGGAATCCAGCCAGGGAGGGGGAAGCCATGGGGAGTGAGAAGGGGAGTGGGGGGCTCGGGGGACCATGGTTACCAGGTCTCTGTGGATGAAGCTGTTTCTCTCCAGGTACTCCATCCCTTCACATACATCCTGACACATGCTCAGCAGCACATCTCTACTGAAATGGCCTTGTCTCTGTCGGAGGAAATTCAGAAGGCAGCCCCGTTCCATGAACTCGGTAACGATGTAGATGGGTTTCTGCTGGGTGCACACGCCATAGAGTTGGACCAGCTTGGGGTGTGTTAGCTTCCTGGGAACAAAGACAGACACAGAGAGTTACCACAGGACAAGAAACCAGCAGGCGGATGTGCTGGGTGGGGCCAATTTTTAATACAAAAGGGGGGGGTCCCTGTAGAAGCTAGAAACTGACATCATGGGGACTAGAGAGATGGCTCGGTGGTTAAGAGCATGGGCTGCTCTTCCAGAGGACCAGAGTTCGATCCCCAGCACCCACATGATGGCTCACAACCATCTTTAACTCCAGGGGGATCTGATGCCCACTTCTGGTCTCTACAGGTACTGGGTACACATGGTACACAATCATACATGCAGGCCAAACACCCATATATGTAAAAGTAATAATGATAATGATACACAAAGAAACTTACATCATGACTTTTGCTTCCTCTATAAAATCCTCCTCACACATGGCACCTTCCCGAATAGCTTTGATGGCTACTTTGTACTGGGCTCGCCACTTGCCCAGCCTCACCACTCCAAACAGTCCACTCCCCAGCTCCCTCATAAAGGTCAGCTCTGAGGGGTTGATCTCCCACTTCTCTGTAAGACAGATGAGAAAAGGACAGAGCAGTGTAAGTCCATGGGGAAAAGAGATGTTCCAAACAAGACTAACACCACAGTCCTGGATAACACAGTAATAATTACCAGAAGACACAGAACCAAGATGCTGCCTGTACCTGGACACCCAGACTGCACAGCCAATGAGGACCATGATAACAACTGTTTTAGCAGTGACATATTTAGTTTTTACCTATGGAAAGTATTTTCTATAAATAAGGATGAAAACAGAAAATCTAGTGTTATTATAAAATACAATCATCTAAAAGCCCACTCTGTCGATGCATTAGAAACAGTTATATAGCTTACACCCAGAGAATTCTTTTGCTAAAACCACAGATTCCACATGTGGGCCCACAGGGTGACTCATGCAGGGTTAGAGCCTGGCATCTTTGCCTTTGTCTGCATCTGTCTCATCTACTTCCAGTCACACACACACACACGTGCAAAGACCGTCTGTCTAAAACCTGGTGATAGCTAACTTACCTTCTCCCCGACATGGATGAAGGTGCAAAGGTAAGAGGGACGGAGGCATCTTACAGATTTTACAACATCCTATTCTGGATGCTCAAAAGACACTAAAGGTCTCCAAGAACTGTCTGAAACCTACAGTCTACCTCTGACTCCAGGAATAGCAGCATCTCCCAGGACAGACTGCCCATCAAGTTCAGGTACAGTTAGTTATTCATGAGGGCAAGGCTGCACCCTAGAGCAGGAGCAACCAACTCTGGAGAACTAGCTTGTCCCTTCAAGCGATAAAGACGTCTTCAGACCACCTTGCAGGACCAGATCTGAGATAATTATCAACCTGTGGAATATTCCTTTACATTCTGTGAATATATGTCACTGTGACTGTTTTAATAAAGAAGCTGACTGGCCAATAGCTGGACAGGATAAGGTTAGGCAGAAAAGCCAAACTGAGAATGCTGGGAAGATCGCGGGAGTCACCAGCCAGACACAGAGGAAACAGGATGTGTACAAAAAGAGGTAACAAGCCATGAGGCACTTGGTAAACTTAGATTAAAAAAAAAATGGGTTAATTTGTTGTAAAAGCTAGTTAGTAATAAGCCTGAGCGATCAGCTGTGCATTTATAATTAATAATTGAGTCTCCGTGTTGGTTATTTGGGAACTGGTGGGTGGGAAAGAAAAGTCCACCTACACATGGTGCCCAAACATGGCACCTACATCCACATAAAACCTGAGAGAGCTTGGGAAAGGGTTCTAGACACACAGAAATGGAGCCAGGCACGGCTTCCTAGTCTCATGTCTCTCATGCCGGCTGTGGCACAGAGAGGTATCTCCTGGCATCTGCCTGCAGGAAGAGCCAGTCTCCATGCACTACTGCCATACACTAAGCTAAGCTACTCTGGCAGTGGCTGACATACCAGTGTCGCTATTGTTTTCCTGCCTGGCCCACAGTCAGGACAAATCTCTATCACCTGCCAGTCCCACAGCTGCTCAGACCTGACCAAGTAAACACAGAGACTTATATTGGTTACAAACTGTATGGCCGTGGCAGACTTCTTGCTAACTGTTCTTACAGCTTAAATTAATCCATTTCTATAAATCTATACCTTGCCACATGGCTCGTGGCTTACCGGCACCTTCACATGCTGTTTCTCATCATGGCGGCTGGCAGTGTCTCTCTGACTCAGCCTTCCACTTCCCAGCTTTATTCTCCTCCTTGTCCCACCTACATTTCCTGCCTAGCCAATGGCCAATCAGTGTTTTATTTATTGACTAATCAGCAACACATTTACCATACAGAACATCCCACAGCATACCAGTTTAAGATTCACCTCATGGGATCAAAAAAAAATACAGATGCTTGGTAAAAAAACAGATCTAGACAGAAAAAAGCCTTTGAATGGGTTATGGTGTGTTTTAAAATATACATAGGCTTTGGAGAGAGAAGAGGAAGAGTATATCCAGCCATAGATTTAAAAAATATAGTTTTAAAATAATAAAGACCTTAAAAAGGGAATAAAGTGGTATTTTTAAAAAGCCATGTAAAGATAAAAAAGTAGAGTCTGGATACTGTATGTTATTGTGTTGTCTTTGAATTTTTTGACTGCTGATGAAGGAGTAATACCTGTTAGGAAACATTGGATTATAAAAGCTGCTGGATTAAAGCAATCTATATATTTTAAAAATATCTTGACTTCAAAGTGGAAGTCAAAAGATATGTTACTTTGGGGAAGAGGTTATGTTCTTATTTCCACAGGAAATGAAAGATTGGGGATTCGTTCAAAGTTAAAGATGATTAAGTTAGATTGAGGAAGACCCCTTGAAATTCTGGTTACAAACATTAAGAAATAAACCTAGAAGAACTATAAGACATATGATGTATATTTTATCTGCTCAAACATAAAACAAAAATTCATCTTTGGCTGACTTAAGTACAATGCATAGTGTATACCTGTATTAATACAGATGTATATGTTACTTCCTTTAAAATTGTATTTTCAGAACAAGGGGACCAGACATCAATAAAAATGGAGGGCCCAGGTGATCCAACATCCAAAACAGCTTCAAAGCTGCTAATTGAGAAGATCCAGCCTCACAAAATACTCCAACCAAGACTTAACAATTATCCTGATTTTCTCAACGTTCCCCCAAAGTTCCAATGCCCCCAAACAACAGGAAATAGTCTAGAGAATGATGACCATATTCCTAGAAGATGTGTTATGAATGTTTCATTTAAGGGGGGTTGGTTACAAATGGTTATTGGTCTTAGTCAAAAAAAAAAAAAAGACTAAACAAAAGAGTTAAATTCAAAAATCTCTTTCTAATGATGAAACAAAAGGGTAGATTATTAACTCTTCTTTAATCCAAAAAACAACTATTAATTTCAAAATATTTTACATTGGTATGGATTTTGGTTTATTGATACAAATTTAAAGTTATTTTACTATACTATATGTATGTTTCTACTCTTGTTTGTGGTATTTTGCTTATGTAACTCATTTAAAAATGTAATGTATAATTAAAAAATATAGATTAATAGTCATCCATGGAGTCAAATTTATAGTCATATTAGGTACATTTTCAAGGTTATACACAGATGTATTTAGATAGATAGATGGTCTTCAAACACTTCAAAAAGCTGAAGAATATGGCATTTAATATGTTTAATAACCTAAGGCTTTTCATGACAGTGAGACATGTCTCCTCTAATCTACTTCAGAGAAGATGATGGGCATTGAAGAAACTATGTATGGAGTTGGTTTTCTTTGTGGCAAAAGCTAGCCATAGGACACAAAAGAAAGCAACTGCCAAACTTTGCCAAGACAATGTAGGACAGGCCTTCAAAATTCCCAGCTCAGAAATGTCTGTCGGATACACCAGGCCTGTAGGCCAAAGTTGATGCCCCAATGTCACAAAGGAACTTTGGGTGACTGTCCAGGTAGCCAGATGTCTCTGTCATTTTGGAAGTGGCTTGCACTGTACTTCCTGTATACTCAGGTAATGTTATATCCTTTGAGGTCTTTGATGGAATTGAAGACTAGATAGTCATAGTTATAGTTTTCCTTAGTTATGATAGAAAGTAAATTATGTACAGAGCTTTGTACTCATCAAGATAGAATAAATAACAGAGTATTTTCTTTAAATTTGTCAAATACAAATGGACTGGATATTCTAACTGTAATTCTTACTTGATGATTGTTTTGTTGCATATAATTTTACTATGTTGAAGTTGAAACTTTCCTTTTTAATTAGACAAAAAGGGGGAAATGTGGAATATTCCTTTACACTGTGTGACTAGATGTCGCTGTGATTGGTTTAATAAAGAAGCTGACTGGACAATAGCTGGGCAGGATAAGGTTAGGCAGAAAAGCCAAACTGAGAATGCTGGGAAGAAGAAGGGAGGAGTCAGGAGTCAAGAGAGAAGCAGAGAGAAGCAAGATGGACATGCTGTACTGAGAAAAGATATTGAGCCATGTGGCAAAGCGTAGATAAAAATATGAGCGTTGTAGAATATTATTTTAACATGTGTTACATTTGTTTATGCTGTGGAATATTTGTTTAATGATGCGAAGATGTGCTGCATTCTTTTGTGCTGCATTTGTTTAACTCTGTGAAGCTGTGTTACTTTGCTTGTCTAAAACACCTGACAGTCTAATAAAGAGCTAAATGGCCAATAGTAAGGCAGGAGAAAGGATAGTCAGGGCTTGCAGGTAGAGAGAATAAATAGAAGGAAAAATCTGGGAGGAAGGAAGAGGAGCAAGAAGAGGAGGAGAGGAGGACGCTAGGGGTCAGCCACACAGCCAGCCACACAGCCAGCCATGGAATAAGAGTGAAAGTAAAATAAAGATACACAGAACTAGAGAAAGGTAAAAGCCTAAGGGCAAAAGATAGACAGGATAATTTAAATTAAGAAAAGCTGGCTAGAAATAAGCCAAGCTAAGGACGGGCATTCATAAATAAGAATACGTCTCTGTGTGACTTATTTGGGAGGTAGGTGGCAGGACCCCAAAGAGCAAAGAGTAAAAGAGCAAAAACAATGTAATGGAAATGTAAGAGCTAGTAACAAGCCTGAGCTTTTATAATTAATATTAAGCCTCTCTGTGGTTACTTGGAAGCGGCTTGCAGGACAAAAACTTCCACCTACATTATCAACCACACTTGGACCAAGACTGCTCAAGTACACCTCCTGTCTGCCTTGCCCCAGTTCTTTCTCTGTTTCAGCCTTTAATGTGAGTACCCTGGAGAGACCTTCAGTTTCTCTTCCCAATACACAGTGATCCAACCTCCTTTCTCTGCTTTTCCCCACTGCTCATCCCTTGGTTGGCTCTGTGGGACAGGTGGTGGAGCCTAGGCTGTTGGGGCTGCCGGGACCTGGCCTTTCACTCTACAACTATGGTTCCATCCCTCCCACCCCGTGGGGAGGAGTTGAATTCTGCACATCTACATCCGTCTTGTAAAGGCGGATTCTTTTCCAGGGAAACTTGCCAACGCAACGACAAGATGAGTTACCATAGCTGAAGCCTGCAGTAGTCGGTGCTTTCTTCCCCTTCGTACTGACCGGGTACCGCAGCCTGGTGACAAGTCCTGAAGAGGGAAGAAGCCATTGCAGTTGAACTTGATCTCAACCATTCTACTTGGTCAAAGGCTAAACAAGAAGCGCCTAGGAAACGCTCATTCACTCATTCTTTAGACCTCCTCTTCGTCTACACAGGGCACTGCAGAGCATGCTTTCAGCCAGTCTACACATTTCCTTTTCAATGCAGTGTTTATCTGGCACAAGGCTAGCTTCCTCTCTCCTCCAACACCCTAAGATATTAAAAAGGTTTCCAGCATTTATTATCAGTGAGTTAATGACCTTTTCCAATATGAGATCTGAATTATGAAAGAGAATTTTTATTAGTCCACTACAAATTAAAGTGATTCACCCGATATAACTCAGTGTTTGTGACTGTGGCATTAAAATCATGCCCCATGGTACTAGCAATGAGGACTATCAACCACTGGAAATCAGTGAGGAAAGTCAAATCCTTTAAGTCGTTGAGAGCCTCAAAGAATAAACAGGAGCCCTCTTCCAGGAACACCCAGATAAGTATGTAATTCTGATATAAAGCATATTGCATCATAATTTAAAATTGTATGTGCATGTAAATTGATGACCATCTAACATCCACCATACTCTCCTCGAAGGCTGGTTTGGTTTCTTGCAGGAAGTAGGCACTAAATAAAAGTCAGTTAAGTAAATTAAGATAGTGGTTAAAAAAAAAAAAAGAAGACATAAGAACACACAAAAAAAATAGGAAAAAATATAATAAAAACAAGAGAATAACCAAACAAGGTTATAAAAAAAGGTTGTTTGGGGGTACTGATAAGAATTAATTGCTCAAGTTGGGTTTTTGTTTGTTTGTCTGTTTTTTGTTTTATTTTGTTGGCTTTTTGAGGCAGGGTTCTTTCTCTATGTAGCCCTGACTTTCCTGGAACTCTGATCTATACACCAGCTTCCTCAAACTCAGAGATTCTCCCAGCCTCTGCCTCCCAAGTGTTGGATTAAAGACATGTGCCACCACGCCTGGCTTAATTGCTCAAGTATTGAACACAGAATTGCAGAACAACCCAGTCAACCCACTGTAGACAAGTGTCCAAAGAAACAAAACTCTGTTCCCATGTAAACATATGAATACAACTGTTCATGTCATCATTAGTCATGAAATTCAAAATGTGGAAACAACCCAGATGTCCACACAATAGACTGTTATCTGTCAATAAAAAGTAGACACTTCCTCTGGCTGCCTGCCTGAGTTCTGGAATTTAAGCTTCCTCAGGATTTCTTTCCTAGGGCAGGTCAGCCTTGAGCAGAATACACAAGGCAATCTCTAAGAATATGTTCAGTGAATCCATCATAGAAAAAAACAAAACAAGCAAAGCAAAACAAAATGCCCTGGGGATTTGCATCATCCAGAATCCCCAGTAGGCTTTCCCCAGCAGCATCACATCTGGAGCTTATGCATACCCAGGGGGCATCTTGGTTTCCACAAGCAGATGAAGGAGAAATTTTGTCAAGGTCGGTGTGTTAAGACAGCCTTTAATCCCAGCACTGGGGAGGCAGAGGCCGGTGGATCTCTGAGTTCGAGGCCAGCCTGCTGGGCTACCAAGTGAGTTCCAGGAAAGGCACAAAGCTACACAGAGAAACCCTGTCTCGAAAAACCAAAAAAAAAAAAAAAAAAAAAAAAAAAGACAGCTTTCAAGACTGGGGCTTAGAGGGCCGACTGACTTCCTTGCCATTTAGTAATATTACGCAGACACTGGAAGTAATTTAAGAATTAAACACAGACTTATAACTTGGCCTGGGAACCTAACAACTGCACAAATATTATGCAAGGCTCTGCATAATAATTTATACAGCATACTGGACAATTCCCACAGGTCAGGCCTTGATCATTTTTACCTTTTCTGATTATTTCAACAAGGAATACACGATACAACATGGGCAATTGTAAAAACATTACAATGCACCAAAACAAAAAAACCAAAAACAGCCCAGCCACAGTCTAAATGTGTGAGTCTATTTCTATGAACTGTTCAGAGAGGGCAAATGTACTAAGACAGAAAGGGGGTTGGTGGTTGCCTGGGGCTGGGCTGGAGAAGGCAGGGCATGGGTGACTGCTGACGGGTACAAGATTTCTTTGGGGGACGATGACAGTGTTCAAAAAAATTAGGTTACGGTGATGTGGCTGTTGGCACACGGTAAATATTCTAAAAGCCACTGAACCCTGTATTTTAAAAGCATGAATTTCATGGTGTGTAAATTACAACTCGATAATTCTTCCTATCATCTGACAAATAGCAGATGACCTCATAGAAGAGCAGCCCCCTTTCTTGGATTAACCCACAAGTCAGTTTTTTACAGGTGGAATCAAGCAGCTGGCTACTGAACACCCTGCCTGTTTGTACCTTTAAAGTTAAAAAGCTGGAAGCCTTCTTTTTTTTGCTGTTTGTTTGATGTTGGGATAACACAGATTTAAGCTGCTGAAAAAAAAAAAAACAACAACAACCTGTATGACATGATGTCCGATCGTCTGCAGTCTGCAGTGGTTTTACGGGTTTTCAACTTTAACAAGGTGCCAAAGCAGTATACATTCTGAGAAAAGCATCCTTTTTGAATCTAGACCTTTTCTGATGATATTGTGTTTTGTTTGCTCCTGGGCTAGTGTTGTAAGGTGGGATACCATGCCGGGCAGCGGTGGTGCACGCCTTTAATCCCAGCACTTGGGAGGCAGAGCCAGGCGGATCTTTGTGAGTTCGAGGCCAGCCTGGGCTACAGAGTGAGACCCAGGACAGGCACCAAAACTACACAGAAAAGCCCTGTCTCGGGGGGGGGGGGGGGGGGGGGGGGGGGGGGGGGGGGGGAGACAAGTAAGGCAGGGCGCCTTCCAGATGTGTAGCTGTAATGAGGGTCACCCCCCAGTACTCTCCAGAGTGCCATGTTACAAAGCTAGGTAGATTAGCTGTGCTAAATACACTTTCTACTTAGGGTATTCTCAACCTCTAACGGTGTCATCGTGACATAATCCCACTATACGTTGAGGAGTATCTACACTCTGCTCCTTGGAAAGTTTCAGCATAAACTGAAACCCTGGCTCCTCCGAAAGCTTCGATGACCACTCTATACACATCTTTGACGTTTACTTTCTGAGACGGGGGACAGGAGTTTCCTTATGTTGCCCAGACTGGCCTTCAACTCTCTGACTCAAGAGATCCTCAAACCTCAGCCTCCTGGGTTGCTCATCAAGTAGGCACATCTTGGAATTTTCGTTTAGTGCCAAGGTTGTAAAGCACAGAGGTGTGAATATCCACACAATAAAGTCCTTGACTTCTGTGGTGGAAACACAGCATTTCTATGAAATCTGATGTGATTTCTGGTTTTTCTTTGGATACAAAAATATCCTTAATAGTTTTTACATCAACCATACTTTACAGGTGACTACACAAACCTCCCTTCTGAAGAATTTCGCAGTGACTGATCATGGGGTCACTGGTCCTCATGGGGGTTCAGAGCACACTCACCTGCTGCATTGTGCTTGTGGTACTCAATGATCTCAGGAATTGACCCGAAAGCATGCTTTTCCGACAGATAGTACTTCTTCGGAGATGTTGCTGTTTCCTTTATGTGATAATGCCTGAAACCTGATGAACCTTCTCTATTAAAACAAAACAAAACACTGCATTGTAACCAGGTGGGGATAATGGAACTTCACCCATAGACGCCATCTACAGGGCAACCTTGGTATGACTTCTTCGTACTGGCTCCTTCTATCCCTGACACAAATATTAGTTTTCCCATGCTCTTAGCTTTCCCACTCACGTCAACAAGTGGGAGTCTGGAGAGAACCCACAATAATAAGGTCGGCTGCTCGCATGGGAATGAAAACAACAACATTTACCACCTCCAGCCAGCTGCAGCAGAATTTTAATTTACAGCTACTTTCTGTCCCACGGAGACATGGGCCTGCAATGCCTAGAACGCTCTCCCTTCTCAAAGGGAGTGGACTAGACTTAAGAGTATAGACACTCTGTTGTAGATATCTCTCTAGAATACAGATCTCTAGTCGTCTCGTGCTTTAAATTCGAGATGATTCATAATTGCTCTTGGGGTAGAGCTTGGGTTCCTTGACCTAAGCTTACGTGACCTGGAGTGCGTCCACCTCTGCGGTGCCTCTCCCTCCCTCCTCCCTTCTCATTCTACAGCCACTCCAGACATCCCTGTGCCTGTCTGACCTCACCATCGCCTCTCTCACTGCGGAGTCAGCAACCCTCTTTCCCTTCTCTCAGTTCTTCCTGTCTTGCCGTAAGGTCTCAGCTTAGATGTCACTTTAGAATAACTGAAATGTGTCTTAGCAATAGAACATTCTACAGCCCCCCCCTCCACCTTATTTTTATGCCACCATGGCTGCCTGCAGGCCTGTCTGTGACCCTCATTAAAAAGCCTACCCTACTCAATGTAGATCCCTTTGTACATAGCTCAGAGCACAGCAGTTATCCAATGAATGTTACTAAATCTTCCATAACTATCCTAAACAAACATGTATGCATGTATGTATACACACACTGACATATATATGAGAAAACTATAGGGAAATTTTCTGAAGAAAATAAATACAAAATAAAGCCAGACTTTAGAAACGAAGACTAGATTTTTTTTTCTAATGCTGAAATGGAGTATCTTACTTTGAATATTAGGGACACATAAAAGCAACATGGGGAGTTCATATAAAAACTCTGAGTTAAAAGAAAAAATATGAGGGTTAAGAAGACAGCTCAGCAGATAAATGCCGGCGATGAAAGTATAAGGACATGAGTTCGAATCCCCAGCGTTTCTATAAAAGCTAGAGGTGCAGGCATAAGCCTGTAACTGCAGAGTCGGCACAGGGGTGAGGAGTCGGGAGACAGACTAATCCTGAGAGCTCACTGGCCAGCTAGTCTAGCTAGCTGGTTAGCTCCAGGGACAGTGAGAGACCCTGTGTCAAAAAATAGATAAATAAATAAGGTGCAGAAGGCACTGAAGAAAATCTCTGGAAACCAGCCTCTAGTCTCCACATGCCCAGGTGAATTCCCCTGCACCCACACATTCCTAACATGCATATGCCATACACCCACACACTCCACACATAAAATGAATAAAAATAAGCAACAACTAAAAACTAGCGCGTAACTACTTACCCCCCAAACTTTGTGTAAAGGGAGACTGTGTACAAGCCGGGTTGACTGGAGTCTCTCACCATAAAACCACCTTCTTTATCCTAAAATCCAAAGTAAGACATTCCTCTTTAAAATTCCATTTACTAACGAAGTGGCAAAGATCCAACAGTTTTATCTTATCATTTATTATCATCCTCTGTGCAGCAAATCTGTTGTCAACAGGAGCAACGTAACAATGGAGCCTCTTGAGTCTTTCCACCCACGTGACTTTCTGCCTCAAACTCCTGGGCTAGGAGATGGCAGAAGGCACATTCACATCTCCTAACTACAATTTCTCACACATGCTGAAGTGGGGCCCACGGCTAGAGTGTCTTAGGGCCTCTGCAGAGCCACCAGGGAGGTCCCGCTGCGCTGGAAGTCCTGGGCTTGTGAAAACAATCATTGAGAACCTCTTTCTGGGTTTCAGTTCATAGCATTCCCACACGTGGTGGGAACTTTCAGTTCCTCTCAGTATCTGTTCCTATCTATACAGCCTTTCTCCTATAAAAACCTCAGTGCTCTTTGCAAGATTATGTTTAAACACCCGGATTCCCCTGCAGTTCAGTGTCAAATATCAGGACACAGGGGAGATGGAGTAACTCCAACAGAGATTCAAAACATGCAAACAAGGTTGAGTGAGTAATGGTTAAGCTCGAATCAGATTCCCAGGTGAAGGGCAAGAAATGGAAGCTTCACATCTCAGACATTTCTCTACCAATGAAACCATATCCTATCTTTAGTATTTACATTGCTTTAAAATGAAAAATGTGTTTCATAGTTGAAGAGTAACTTTTATTCTTATTTATAAGAAAGACAGAGGCATTAAGGAAGGCCCCACAAGCCTATCTAATAACAATTAGAATATTAATTATGATCATAAATTCATTGGTAAAAGATTAATAAGAGTCACCATCTTGAAAACCTATTCTTTTTAAATGTGTCCTCATATGCAAATGTATTGAGTACCCAGACAGTCGTTTGAGTAATAGTCTTATTTTTAGTAATAGTCTTCTTTTATCTTTCAGGTAAGGAAAGGGGACACACAAAGAGACAACCTTCCCCGGTCACCTGGCTAGTGAGTAGCAAATGGGAATTTGAAGACCAGGCTGCCTGGTTACTGGGCACCCTCTAGCTGTCTCATTGTGTGGTCTCTGGGAAGCCGGTAAGGATCCTAGGGGGGTAGGAATGAGTCTTGGCATATAAACTATACTCAGTGCTCAGCAAAGCCTTGGTGTTAACACCCAGACAAGGCAATGCCTTGAACTATCACTAAGTAAAACAACTAGAACGTCAATGTGGGAGCTTCAGACCTTGGCTTCTAAGTCAACTTTCCTACCTTACAGATTCAAAAAATGATTAAAACTGTCCCAGAGTGCCTGGGTGTTGTAGAATATTATTCTAAGGTGTGTTACTGTGCCTGTCTAAAACACCTGATGGTCTAATAAAGAGCTGAAGGCCAATAGTGAGGCAGGAGAGAGAAACAGGCAGGGCTGGCAGGCAGAGAAGATAAATAGAGGGAGAAATCTGGGAGAAAGAAAGAGAAAGAAGAAGTAACTAGAGAAGAAGGAAGACATCAGGGGCCAGCCACCCAGCTACACAGCAAGACACGGAATAAGAGTAAGATTCACAGAAGTAAGGAAAGGGAAAAGCCCAGAGGCAAAAGGTAGATGGGATGGTTTAAGTTAAGGAAAGCTGGCAAGAAATAAGCCAAGCTAAGACAGGTCATTTATAATTAAGAATACGCCTTCATGTGTGATTCATTTGGGAGCTGAGTGGTGGGCCCCCAAAAGAGCAAAAACAAACAACAACACCTGGGTCTTTCTCAGCTCAGTGCAATTTCCTCTCTGTAGTCATTGTCTTTTCCTCTAATTTCACTTCAAGGTGTGAGAAATTCATTGCAACTATTATAACAGGCAATTACATGTTATTAAGTTTTAATTTACAAAACATATCACATAATATTAATGTAAACTATTCTAAAACAAATAACTTCAAGCAAAAAAGAAAATACATAGAAGAATTAAAATCAACGCAGCAAATGATAAATCAGTAGGGAAGTTAAAGGCTGCTCAGTGGTGGGTGCTTCCTCACAATGAAGATTTCAAGGTGCCCATCCACCTTTTGCTGTACTCCAATGAGCCGAGTCCTAAGCTTCAGAAGGTGACTGTGCTTTGGCATAAGGGTTTACATGGGTCGTTAAATTAAGATGAAGTCATCAAGGTGGCTCTAGTTCAGTATGACTGGTACCCTCACTAACAGAGAAGATGTAGACAGAAACATGTACATACATGGAGGAAGACAAAGATACAGGGGAGAAGCGCCATCTCCAAGGCAAGGAGAGGGACTTAGGCCCCCCCACACACAGCCCCCAGAAGCAACCAATCCTACTGACCATGACTTTGGGCTGTAAGTCTCCACAACTATGAAGTGGTGAAATCCTGACGTTTGGGTCACTCAGTGTGCGGCTCTTCGTTACAGTATGCTAACACTCCAATACTCTCTTTTAAGTGATGTGAAAAAGACAGCCTGTATCTATACCACAGACCCTTCAGGCTTTAGGCATAAGTACATGGAACCATTCATGAAGGATTCATTAAAATTAATCTGTGCTGAAGTGCGGCTTGCAAAATGAAGACAACCACTTACTTCCGTTCTGAGGAGCTGCTCGGCTTTGCTTCTGTTGGTATTTCTGCAATACCATCTGATCAGAAAGAGATGGTTATCAGATTTTGAAAATTAATTTTTATTCTTAGTCTGACTAACAAACTAATGCAGCTTATCAATAGCAAATGTAAGACACACCACCATGGTAAGACAGCACTTACATTCTTAAGAGCAATAACATGCCTTCATCTCTATGTCTCCAGACTTTTCCTACCCACATTCTTAGGAAGACATCCCACATCTGGTAAGTGGAATCAAAGGCTACTTGTATGGCATAACCTGAATTTGTCAGAGGACAGCTTTGCAAATCAGTACTAGTTCTATGTAGGTAGGCATGGAGGTGCCATATTTCATTTGTTCTTGTCATTCAACATAACAAATCATTTCCAATGACTACAAGCAATGCAAGAATGAATTTTATTCCAATGATTAACACGTGCAGGAAATGTCACTTTACATCGTTGTCTTTAATTCAGACTAAATCTTATTCCAGTCCCCATCTCATCAGCATAGCAGATCATCAGGTCACTGTGGCATCTGTTTACCGAATTCATGGAGATCTCAAGTGTCAAGAAATAAGGAGCAACACTAAAGAGGCGATCTAGGTGCTCCAGACTTTCTGATGTCCAGCACATCTAGACTCTTGTGGTCACCCTAGCCTCCATATTGGTTCTGTACCTTATCTGAGCATCCACCCTACCTCCCTACCTGGTCCATACCCTGAGGCCCTGAAGATCTGCCCCTTCCTGGCCTTTGGGAAGACTCCCTCTGTGTATTGACATCTCCTTCCTCATCCCCAGAGACAGGCTATCCTTTGAGCTTCCCCCAGGATCATCCCTCCATGTGACTGTAAGCAAACGGGCCCCAAAGAGTATGAATAAGATCATTTTCTCTAGCCTTCAATTTTAAATTTGTTTTGTTGGATGTTTTTCATTTGGCAATGAATCCCCCTATTACTGCCAAATACTTAAAAATTACAAATATCCTAAAGTCCCTGGGGCCTTTTTGGGCATCTGAATTTCCCATTATTGCCTCAGCTTATTCACAATGATTGTGTAGCACTGTTCTCTGAGATTAAAACATTCCATCCTGCAGGAAGCTCCATCACATGGAAAGTAAACAAGTCAAAACAGCTTCAGGAAGTCCCTGAAACTGACCAGATTCACGGCTTCCCCTCCCTCCCCAAGAAGGAACAGTAAAGGCTGCTGAGAGTCATTTTCAGACAAGACAAGCTGCAAAGAGGACTGTCAGGTAAGTTGCCTAGTTGCCGGGAAACAGCCAAAACCAGCCAAACTGTCTGGAAGAGATCCATGGAGTTACTTGGAAAGGACACTCTCCAACCTGTTAAGCTGCCTGCAGACTGTGCAGTGTGCTCCAGGTTCCCAGCTCTTGTGAGCTGTCACCCATGCTGGGGTGGCCTTGGTGATACAGCTGTCTTTCAGTCGTTTCTGCTTCTGTAAGTGACCCCTCACCCATATTCCTGCAAGTAACCCCAGTAAAACTCATCAGTTCACCAAGTGGACTTTGGTCTATTGTTTGCTGAGTAGGGGTGTGTATGTGTGTGTATGTGTGTGTGTGTGTTGCTTTCCCCAGGAAAAGTTTGGCACTCACCCGGCCTCTCATCCCAGACACCCTGAACAAGAAAATATAAAATTCCCCATGACTGAGAAAGGCAAAATCACAACAAGAAAACAAGACAAGAAAGATGGCTGTTTTTAGAAAGCAACTGAATGCCCAGTGAAGTTGCAACACACTGTAATGATATCAGAGCCTGCAACGAGGACCCAGACCTGGGAATGAACAACATGTCCATCACACTTTATGAAATGAGGCCAAGTTCAACAAAGCTGCCATTATGATCAATCCATTTCTGAATGCAATTGAGATACAGTGATAAATTAGAAAAGATTCTGTCTCTAAAGCTTTTCTATAGATAAAAGAAGTATTTCTCAGACACCCAAAACTGTCATAAAAATTAGTCAAGAAAAGGTAGCTCATTATACACTGTGAACTAGCAAGATGTTTGAGACTGAAAATTTTGATTGGTCAAGGAAACAGAAGATCCATTTTCACATCTTCAAAGTAAGAGCAAGAGAGGGAAGGTCCGGTTGCAGGAAATTGGGAGAGCTACACTGTGGCTTTCAGAAGACAAACAGACATCCAGAGCAACAAGGAGGCCCCTTCCTCACAGTTAACTTCCAGACCCCAGGAAAGGGTAAAGGAAACTAAAGAGTTAAGGACTCTGTGCCCCAAAAAGCAGCTCCTTGAAACCTGTTCTAATGAGGTGTTTTTTACAGCGTCTGTAGTTCCTGAAAAAGATCTTTCCATCCTCTGGACACGCCATCGATTCTACCCACAGTGTGTGCCAAGGCCTGTGTGTTAGCAGCTTGGTGACCAGAGGGGCACTACTGGGAGGCTGTGGAACCGTTCATTGATAGGGCCTTGCAGGAAGTCCTTGTGCCGTAAGGGCACAGCTCTGAAGGGGACTACAGCACCCCTGACATTTCCTCTCGACTTTCCAATTATGAGGCAAGCAAGTTTTTTTTAGGGCATGCTCCCATCATGATTTCTTTCTCACAACAGTGCTAAAACAATAGCATTGATATATCATGGAGCAGAAACTCCAAAATGCAAGCCAAAGTCAAATTTTTCTCTTTACGAGGTATTTTGTTACACCGATGTGCAGCTGAATAATGTAAGATACAAACCCAGGCCCTTTAGGGTCTATTGAGTTATAAACAAATAAATAGATGAACCAACTGTTGATGCTATTTCACAGCAGCTCTCCCTGGCTTCTCTCCCTCTGTCCCCTGTCCCTGTCCCCTGTCCCTGTTCCTATCTCCTGTCCCTGCCCCTGCCCCTGCCCCTGCCTCCTGTCCCTATCCCTGTCTCCTGTCCCTGTCCATGGCCCCTGGCCCTGTCTCCTGTCCCTGCCCCTGTCCCTGTCCCTGTCCCTGTCCCCGGGCAGAAGGAAAAGACCCTCTGATGAATTCATCCTATCAGGAAGAGGAACACACGGGAGGAATGTAAACAAGCCTAGAGGGCATAAGGAGATAGAGATGCCAGTGCACATACCTCTACGTAAGGTCTGGAGATGCCTCATTAGAGTTTAATACCTTTTGCTGAAGGACAGCTACATTTGGAAACAATACCCGAGATGTATGGGTAATCTGTCATCCTTTTCTCAGGTACTCCAGAATGAATTAGTTTTTCAAATTGGCTAGCTACCTCACAACTTCCTGAGGAATGGGATGTTACAGCAGTGTCTGAAGGAGAGGGAAGAGGAGATTTGAGGACACCCAGTCTTCTGCAAATGTGAGACATGACCAAGTTTCTTGGAAAGGAAGAGTAAGAGTAAATCAAGAAAAAAAGACATGAAGGAATGATGTAGGATGTCTTTCTGTCCTCTGTGAACATGCGCTGCTCTGACTGGTTGATAAATAAAGCTGTTAGGCCAATGGAGAGGCAGAACAAGGTGAGGCGGTACATTCCGACTGGAGAGAGAGAAGAAAAGGAGAGCAGGGCAGACTCTGCGAGCCGCCACCAGGAGAACGAAGATGTGAAAGCACCGGGAAGCCACGAAGCCACATGGTAAAGCACAGATGCACAGAAATGGGCTGAGTTAAGTTGTAGGAGTGAGCCAGTGAGGAGCCTGAGCCAATAGGCCATACAGTTTGTAAATGATATAAGCCTCTGTGTGTTTACTTGGGACCAAGTAGCTGAGGGACATGGGTGGGAATGGTTCATCCTGACCACAGGGCCGGGCAGGACCAGAGAAACTTCCAGCTATGAAGGAAAAACACAACTAACCAACCATGTGCACATTTCTGTCTTCTCTCTATTCTGTTCCTGTCTCCTAAACCCACTCAGAGCTGTTCCCACACAGTCTGCTGTTCCTGCCATTTCCTTTTGGCTACCTTATTCCTTGAACATCTTTCACACAAGAACACTTCCCTCTGCCCATCCTAATGGGCTCCCCCGCCCTTTTTTTTTTTTTTTTTTTTTTTTGCCTTATGGAGATTTTTCTAAACCTCTGGTATCCAAACTTTTGGTAGAGTTTAGAGGTCAAGCTAGGTCTGACTTGGGGACAGCTGTGACCTGGGATTCCTGGTTGGCCCAAACAAACAGAAAAACAGTTGATTCAGCCTCCATGAGGTCGTAGAAGATGTGTTACTAATGGGCTGTGTTCAACCCAAGAAAACAAAGTCAGGCAGAGAATGGGGAGGAGAAAAACAGGAGAGGAGAACTCTGCCTGCCCACCCTGAGGACAGTCTTCAGCTTTACTACCTGGCATAACGCCAAGGTGGAATCTCTGTCCCTGGCACAGAATGCTGAGGGGACTCCCACACTGGAGTCACAAAGAGGAGAAAAACCCTTCAGAGAGATTAAATTTCCAAGTGACAATATAACCAAAGCACTCACTCATGTCCTAGTTACAAACTCCAGGGTTGAAAATCCTTATTTGAAATCCCATGAGTCATAAGGAATCTTCAAAGTTTCCTATGATTCTTCACCAGGATTATCTGGTTTCCGTGAACCAAATTATCAGTTAGTTCTTGGTTGAATCATTTCAAATCAGTTTAAGTCTTAAGCCTTTGGGCATCTTCCCTGTTTCTAAGGATTTTATTATAATTTCCTTAGATGTATTTAAGAGCCAAACCACCATATTTTACATAATCCTCTATCACAATAAGAAACCCTCAGAGGAATACATAGTCATGCAACTGTCACTGAGGAAGCCTCACAGAGTGCACTTAGAAGACCTAGCCCATATAGCCCATTATGCCCCCTGGCAGCCCGTATAATCTACTACTCATCCCCCAATCTCCCATCCCCTCCAGACTACATGAAGCAGGCAACAGCTCTGTGCTACAAACCTGACAGCTTGTCACTACACAAATAGTATGGGCCACTATAGCACAACGGTAAGCATTTATGTATCCACATACACAGAAAAACCTTAGGAGTTCTTCAGCTCCATCACAGTCCTATGGAAAGATTGTCAAGCACACAGCCCGTTTTGGTAAAATGTGCTATATAGTACATAATTGTATACTGTCTCTATTTCCACTTCTAACGACACTTTAAAAGATCATGCCCTTGATGTTGGGACTTTTAGACCCTGATGGTCTTCTTCTAGAGTTTGAGGTATGCTCATGTCATCACAGGGAGATGGCAAAGCAACAGCTTGTAGTTTTAAGGAAGTGGATGTCATACTCACATCCTACCTCAGGAGGCCCACAAGAGAATTGATACCTATGGGTCATGCATTAAAATCTGGCTACGCACTGTCCGTGGGCATAGAAAGCACAGTTTTTCTGTGAAGTGGTCAGACAGCATGCCTCAGGAAACTTGACAAAGGTCACGCATGCAGGCTTCCCAGGATGTAGATTTTAGAGAGATGGGTGAAGACAGCGAGAAGAGGCTATCCCATTACTTTACTATTGCAAAGATACCTGAAACAACCCAATACCTCCCAGATAAGAGAACAATTATGTCAATTCTTATGAGTCCATATACAGGTTAGAGCCCTTGGGCCTTGCCAGACAATAGATCAATACCAAGAACTCAGCAAATATATTGTAAATTTATGACTGAATGAGCAATTGGTCCAGCTATGAAAATATTTTCAAAGACTGTTTAATGGCAGGAAGAAATATGAATGCATAATGCACTCACTGCTTAGTGGAAAAAGAAAAGAAAAATATCACTAATGCTGACAAGGTCAACTCTTGTTCATAATATTTTCTTAATAACATTTTTCCTATTTTCAAAGTTTTAAAAAAATAATCATAGACTCTTGTTTTCATCTGAAGAAAAGAAACAATGAAATGCTTTTAAAGGCTCCTCTGGGAAATGTTGTTCCCTTACCTTACATGAATGAACAATGATATTTATTTCAAACTCAGCTGAGCTGTGATTGTTCAAATCCAGTTCAACTGTGCCTGCTTATATAATGACATTCACACACAATATATTCAAGGAAAATGACATAGAGAGATAAAACTTGGGTTTTCACTAAGTCAACAGAATTAAGGATATGTTGGCACATTCTAAAGACATTAAGGTTATCCCTTAATCATCCAAGTGCCTTACATAATTAGGAAAACAAAGGCTTTTGGTTCTCCACACTTACAAAGGAAATGATTACTTACTCATATTGATCTAAGTTGTTTGATTTCTTTCCTGTGACATAATTACTTGGGATATATCCTTCACTCCTAGAATTAAGATGAGCACACAAACAAAAACGACTTTAATTTTTGTTTAAGGAAAGGTAATTGGTTTTCTAAAGCACATGACCTGAAGTTTTTATGAAAACCCAAGTACCTCATTAATTCAATATAACTGTATTGTCCAGTACTTTACAATGTATGTCCATATTTGATCCTCACAGAGATTATAGCTGTACAGACATTATTATACCCATTTTCTCATGGGGAAACCAAAACCTAGATTAAGATGATCTCTCAGTTCCCAAAGTCAGTCAGCATCAGGGTGTGAACTTGAACTCTAGGTCTTTCCAGTATTCCATGATGACCAACATTCCATGATGCTGGTCAAGACTTTATCATTTCTAAGGATGTCTTAAAGAAACTACTACATCATAAAAGTCTGTGTTGCATGGAGTCACCTGCGCTCTACTACCTCAGCAAGCTCTGCAGGACAGCATCCCAAGGGTAGTCTGTGCCCTCTGCATTGGTACCATGAGGAACTTGTTAAAAAGAACATTCTTGAGAGATCTGAATTGGGGAGGCCTGTGTGGCACAAAGGAACCTTCCATTTTACCCTTGGTGACTCCTATGTATACTACACTACAGTTTAAGAAATACTTGTATGTTGGTAGGAGCCACGATGCCCATGTATAAATTTTTCTTTAAACTAGAAGCTTTATAATCTTCTATTTGGTACTGAACCTTTAGTAAAAGCTCATCATACACATGCATGGGAGTCCACACACATACATGCATGCATGCACACGCACGTGCGCTTCACTGCACCCACAGAAGCCTAGAAGCAACGACAATACACCAAACAAACAGAATCCCAGAATTCCACCTGTTACCTGTAAAACACTGCTTCTGACTGAACAGAGGCAGAGTTCCTTGGGGGAAATGTCAAACTGCAGGCCCAGTGAGGAAAAATACAAGGTGAACTTGAATTATTTTACTGAGTCAGAAAGCAGAGAAAAACTAACAGGGTCCTCAGCTCAAAGCAATCGGAACAATGGCTGCTTTGGATCGAAACCTAACACAAAAGCATCCACAACACTAAGAAAAACCTCTGGCTACCACTGTAACCATCAGAGGAAGTTCATTCATCAATTCATTCTGAAACATGGTGGGACTTAAGGATCAGCTGCACCTGCCTTTCCCGCCAGAACTAAATGTGCTCATTGATGAGGCAGATCCTTTGGGAATTAACAGCTGTGGGTGTGGCGGCGGCAGCGGAGTTAGAAAAGGCACCGTTTGTACTTCCTAAGGCAAGAACAGGTCTAAGTAGCAACCATTAGTGGATGCTAATGTCAAGAGGGAATACATTATGGGAACTTATGATGTGTCCCTCAGGCCAGCTCCTGAATCATGAGCACCCTCAGCACCATTAACAACAGAACAGCGGGAGGTCATCTTTGAGGTGACCAAGCTTCTCACTCCAACCACCAGATTACAAAAGATAAGATGACACAGAGGTATGCCAGACAGTCCAAGAAGAGGACAGTCCACGTAATATAGATGACGATTCATTTTATAAGGTAAATAAAGATCAAAAATGAAAAGAGGAAAGGACTATTATGAAACAAAATAAAAAAGACACAGGAGACATATCCAAGTCAGGTGTGGAGGCACACACCAGTGGTCATGCCCCTTATGTCCTAAGTTACCTGTACAAATAATGCTTGCTGTATATACATATACATGTATTTTATACACATGTATTATACCTATATGCACATTTATAGAGAGAAAGACAAGTTCAAAAGCAAAGTTGTTCCATTATATTGTGAGTATACAGGGAGAGAGAAAGAGAGAGAAATTGGAAGAAGAGAATTACAATAAACTATTACACAAACAAACACACACACACACACACACACACACACACACACACACACACACACCATCAAATACTTTTAAAAACCCTTAAAGTATACCTCACAGTGCTGTGAATTCATGGTTGACTTAAAGTTGTGGCTGGCTGAGCTAGTCTGTTTTAACCAATTACAGTGCGCACACAATTCACTCAGCACGTCACGCACACCCATTGAGAGTCACACACAAAGGAAACACTTACCCATACTTATCCCTTGCTCTCCACCAATGGATGTCATTCTTCTCCAGTATGATATACTCTTGGCCTCTCTCTAACCTGAGGTCATGTGCTTCTGTTGCTTGGAAGTCATACATGGCTACAACTATTTCTTCAGTATTTTCTTCTTCTGGGGGAATTGGTGGAGGAGGCCTTCTCTATGCAGAGAAGATGACATTGGCAAGTTCAGCTTCTATTTGAAATGGATCATGAGGCACAGCAGCAAAATATAAAGGACTCACATGTCACCATAGTGCAAAGCCCAAGTCTAGTCTAAGCCACCGAGTGAAACCTGTGAGCCCTCCCATGACAATGCTAGTGTTGTTGGACTTTTTTTTTAAGAGTTCAAGATTGAAGGGAAGGGCAAAGCCTGCCCTGACTATTCTAAGGGATTTGTTTGATGATTGCTTGTTTGTTCTCAGGTCAGGGATAGTTTTCCAGAGAGCGAGGCAATGACAACCCATGAGGAGACACTGGGTAGACTAAAGGACCACAGGCATTGGGAGAACAGTACACCATGGAGTCTTTCAACAGATCTCCCACTCAGAGCAATGTGCACTTCTTTATGCCTTCAATGTATAAAGCACACACTTAGGATCTAACATGTTTTCTGTTAGGATCTAACATTGTTATTCTAAACAATGCTACCACCAAGTAACGTATTTATCATATAGTAAGTCCTTAGCTACAGCTGAGTCAACCCACCCAAAGTTTAGTAACCTACCCAGTAACCCCCAGTTCTTACTGGCTAAGGTACTAACTGGGTCTAAATTGCATGTTATTCCACCGTATCCCACTCCATGGGCACATCATTACATCACTAAAGCCTCTCCTTTATTGTGCCATGCTCCTAAGACAGAAATAGTCCTTTAAAATGCCATGCCTCTCAAATGACTCCTGAAGCCAGTCTACCAGAAAGTAACAGGACCCCAACAACAAAAGCTTAAGAACTAAACTGATTGTCTTGACATCGAGAACTATTCAGATGACTTCTATCACACCTGTTTCTAAGGTGGTCCTGGGAGGAAGCATTATTGCATGGCTGAACATAAATACAGTCAATAAACCACAAACCCTTCTAAAACACACAGGCTTGTAAGAGCAGGGAACTTAAGGATTTAACATAAAGGCAGAGACCACTCACCTTCTTTGTTTCTGGTGCTGGGGGCAGTGCTTTTCTTATACCTGAAAGTGCCAATAAACGTTGATCACAATGGTATCCCACAAGAACTGATGGAGAGAAGATACCACTGGTGGAGAATGAGCACTAGGCAGGCGACCACTGCGCCCAACTCCCAACATATCCTAGCATCATGATCTCAGGATTCCCCAGACAGCATCATCCTGGCTCTTACGTAAGCTACAATCTAAACTGCAGCTGGGGTCTGACAGAGTGAGTGCCTAGCAGTGTGAGGCCCTGTCTTCAGTCTTTAGCATCGTGGAAAAATAGATGAAGAAATGCCTAAGTCAGGTTACAACAGTGCTCCCTTATCTACAGCTTCACGTTCCACAACTGGAGTTGCACCAGTGAGCCACGGTGTGAAAATATTAAATGGAGCGATTCACAAGCTTTCATGTGTACACTCTTCTGATAAGTGTGACAAAAATCTCAGGTTGTCTGGCTCACACCCTCCCGGGAAGCAAATCATTCCTTCATCTAGCATGTCCACACTGCATCCACTATCCGGGCCATTAGTCACTTTACACTCTCAGCTCTCATACCAACCATGGTGGTATAATCACAGCACATCAAACATTTTTAACTGAGTGATGGCCCCAAATGCAAGAATAGCAATCCTGGCACTCAGATACACCAAAGAGAAGCCGAAAAGTGGACCCTTGATCTGAAAAGGTGAGCGGTCTTGATTTAACAAGGAAAGAAAAAAAAAAGAATGCTGATGTCATTAAAATCTGCACCATATTAAGAAATTATGTGTAATAACTTATTACAGCATGTTATTAGAGTCATTTTATCTTACTGGTAGGTGTTATAGTTAATCTCTTACTGTTTCCAAATTATAAATTATACTTTATGACTGGTATGTATGTATATATGTATCAGGAAACAGTATACATACAGTTCAATATGACCCGTACCCTGGGGGTCTTGACACAGATCCTCTGTAGGTAAAATAGCACCACCGTAATGATAACACAGAGAAATGCATCACTTTTATCAGTCTATCCCTCTTGAGTTTGGTATGGTACATGGTTACCCGCACAGTAGACATGGATGAAATTCTAATCAAAGGAATGGGCCATTTTTAGACCCTGTCCCTGTAAAACCTCCTGTGGGCATTCTGGATCTTTTCCCCACTCAACTGCTGAAGGAGCAACAGTGGCAGAATTAGAATAATCTCTACAGCCACCTGGGGTAGCTGCTCACCTCTGTTTCACTACCTGAGAGACTAACAAACGACTAGCTTTAACTAACTTCTCAGTCATTTCTCCAGCAAGTCAGAGCGGACTTTACCCAGGTAGGCAATAACAGCAGCCTGGAAGCTTGAGTCCTGCTTGTTAATGTGCTAGTTAATGTCAGGATGACTACCCCAGAGGAGTGGGGGAACTCAGAATTAGAGCTGTCCCTGCCCCATGCCACAGACTCGACAAATGGCCATTCTCCCTCTCCCTGGAAGTTGATGATTCACATGGTAGTCACAGTGCAGGGTGACAGCCTGGGGTATCCCATCCTCCTCAGCACTAGTAGCTCTGGTCTCTGGTCTTCACTCACAACTAAGGGTTTATAAGGCCCTGGGTAAAGAATTAAGCTCCTGCCCTGAATCGGAGTCTGGAATCACAGGCCTGCACCACCACCTGTGGTCCACACTTTTAACCGATTCATTTTAACGGCCTCGCTGTTATGATAAAAGCTCCCCAAAGAGGCCTCGCCTCTCTAAGGCCCACTGCTAAGGAAACAGCATCACTCTTAGACGCCATGGCTACTTTGCGTTTGCACTTTTCCGGATAGTGTGCTCTACTTGATCAGAATCAAAATCCCATCACTCCTCCCAACACCAACAGTACGATCATTCTGAGTACATCCCACTAAAGAATCAGATGAATACTTACTACTCTCAAAAAGATTGTATTTTTCACATCCGGGGGCTAGTTTTTCTGTTTGTCTACAACACTGGTAACTTCCGTCTGTCCAAAATTTAGGATGATACTTAATCATAATATTATTGTTGTTCTTTATTTCTGTAATTCACAGACACATGAGTGGTTAGTGACATAAAACATTACTTCTTCCTTGACCAACATGCTTATTATGAGAATATCATTGGGACATTACATATTCAGTATTCAGAAAAGCTAGATGGCTTTCTTTCTTTGTCCCTTTCACTGGTGAAACATGCATGTGAAGAGAAGAGAATCACTGCCCACTACCACAGTGTTCCATCAAAGATAGGAGTATTGAGCAAGACAAACTGTCCATTTAAGCACTTCACCATGAAAATGCCATTCCATCCACACCAAGTGTTTGATGCAGGCAATTTCTTAGGACATACAAATTCTGGCATTCTAAAAGCTCACGCTTTATCACCTTCAACCACATTGTGTGATACATGGAAGTGTGCTTTTACTAGGAAAAAAAGCATTCAACTAGAAAGAAATAAGATTTTAGAAAGGGAAATCTGTCTTCAATGTGTTATCACTTCACATGACTGACTGTCCTTGGAGAGATACTCATCGTAATTAATTATAATTGCAGGAGCTGTATTAGCCGTGTGTCTTTTTGTGGTATCCTAAAATTATACAGAATCCGGGAGTTCTTACCTTCTTTTAACTTCTTCACCCATCGGTCCCTGCTTTGTGGACTAGGTGCAAAAATATAAAGTGTGTTAGCATCATGAACAACCTAGAAAAGAAGACAAAAGATGAAACCAGTGACAATACTTGGACACAACCCTTCTGTCTAGCAGAGCCCTGACACATGGTTCCTGGATGGCTGAAAACAAATCCATTACTTCAGAAGTCTAGTTTCCAAAGAAACTAGACTCTTTAGTTACAAAAGAACATCTAATTCTTAATTTCAACATTAAGTGGGATATATATTTTACAAAGGATTATGGGAACTCTCTCTCTCTCTCTTTCTCTCTCTCTCTCTCTCTCTCTCTCTCTCTCTCTCTCTCTCTCTCTCTCTCTCTGTGTGTGTTAGAGGCTAGATGATGACAACCTTGGGTCTTGTCTCTCAGGTGCCTTCTACCTAATTTATTTAGACAGGGTCTCTCACTGGCCTGAAACTTACCAAGCAGATTAGGCTGGCTGGCCAACAAGCCACAGATCTGCCTGTCTCCACCTCTCCAGTGCTGGGATTACAGGCACGTACCACCACGCCTGGCTCTTTTTATGTGAGTACTGAGATATGGATGACTCGGGTCCTTAAGGCATTTACTAACTGCCCAGAGCCGGGATTGCATCCTCACAGAGGAACACAAATACTGACAGCTATCAGGATGCTTCACTGATCTTGGTATTTATTTCAATTTAGCTAACTAGAGTTTTCTGGATAAACTTGGTGCCTCAGGGCTTATTCTAACCCAGTATATTTCTAAACAATATTTGGGGTGAATTTCAGTATCGCTCCTGTCCTGTCCTTTTGTCCCATCAGTGAATGCAGTACACATCTTTAATAAGTACCGAGTCTTACAGATCTAGGCTGTGGCTTCATAGATGTCAACTCAATCCACCAAGAGATGAGCATTTCCATTTTATAGACAAGAAAAGGAAGGCCTAGCCAAGACCCTATGCTCCTGTACGACTTCAGGAGGCACCATTCACATAGCAGGCATGGCTAAATTATTCTGTTTTTTTTTTTTTTTTTTTTTTTTTTTTGTTTTTTTTTTTTTTTTTTTTTTTTTTTTGGTTTTTCGAGACAGGGTTTCTCTGTGTAGCTTTGCGCCTCTCCTGAAACTCACTTGGTAGCCCAGGCTGGCCTCGAACTCACAGAGATCCACCTGGCTCTGCCTCCCGAGTGCTGGGATTAAAGGCGTGCGCCACCACTGCCCGGCTATTCTGTATTTTAATATGAATAGTAAGCCTTGGAAATTAACCTAGGAATCCTGCCACTGCTCTGAGATGTTATCCCTGACAGTTAGTCACAAGGCAGAAACACTCTGACCTGACTAAAAGGTAATGTGCTCTATTATAAACCTCCCTTTATTGGGCCAATACCCACTAGACTGAAAAAGTAAACCATGATCTCGTTGGCCACAGTTGTCTCTTGCCCAGTTTAACAGGTAAACCCTTCCCAATTCATGTCAACACCTACATTTTGGTGGGACTGCCGAAAATACAAAAATATATCAAACATGAGCCTGCTTCTAAGATATATCTAGAAATGCTGTATTACAAGACAGAATGTGAGAGGCAGTACCAGAGATATGTGCTAACAGAGACGTGGAGAGATGTTTTCATGTTTGCTACATGGCTTTCACACCTTACCCAGTTTTGTCTGTACAGCCAGCTCTGTACTAAACAGTGAATTGTAGCATACCAGGCAAGTCAGCCTGAACTGGCAGACATAGCTAGAAAGAAAAGCTTGGGCTTGGACCATCCCAAAATCTACAGTGTTGTTCTAATAATAATCTGTTCAGTGTATTACTTGATTGACTTCCCAATTTGGTCTAAACACTTTACAGATGCCTCCTGGTTTAATCTGTAGGGCAGCCAGGATCTCTACTGATGGAGCAGATGTAATTATATCTATTACCTTGGTAACATGGGACATTTTTGTATTTGTACAAGGATTTCTAGAAAATACTGCCCTTAATCTGAATAGAAAATGTCTAATTTTGACATCTCAGGCAGTTTGGTTGTCTGGGAAGATTCTAGGGTACCAGTCTCCTTCTGTCTACAAACCACACAGTTCACACCACGCCCATCCCATGAAAACCTGTAAGAGTCAGAAACCCCCTTTGTTAGCAGAACTGCGACGTCTCTCTCTTCATTCAGGGTGCCACTGCATTACCCACAGTGCCCATCTTCTCTCTCCCCCTTCAAGCCCCGACCATGCTCTCCTAACTGTTTTCCCACATAGGTGGCCTCATCCTGTATCTCCCCTAGCCCACCTGACGAGTCATTACCTGCCAGCTCCTTTCAATGAACTTGCTTTTTTTTTTCCTTCCTAAAAAGTGCACATCCTTGACTGTTTTTTGTTTTGTTGTGTTTTGTTTTTCATTCACAATGTGGTTCTGAAGAAGTCATTTACAACTAGTGAGCATCACCTTCCTTGGTCATAAGCGAACCCAGTAGAGCACAGGATTGTCATGTAGTTTTATCAACATATACTGCTACTATTACCTTTTCCATCAAAAGAAGCCCTTTCATCTCATTTCTGTTTGTAAGTAAATCATTCTTGCTACTTTCCAGCTTCTCAAGTTCAGGGAAAAATTCCAGTGGGCTTTGGTCTGTGCTCTGTGGCTAAAGTGACCCACAGGAGAGACCTGGGGTTTAGTGACTCGGGATCAGTGGTAGGCTACAGCAGCCAAAACAAAAACAAAATGGCTGCCTAAGTCTTAAGCAGTTAATGAAGAGAGGCAAGGACTATGAAGATGACAAAGGAGCCCCCAAATCAGATACCAAACCCGGGACAGGAAACTGTCACTTCAAATGGGAACAGGACAAAAGTGGGCTGTTGGAATTCCTGGCCACTCCCCCAGCTACATGACCACACACGCAAAGTTCAGTAGCCAAGCAAGGGGTCTTAGGTTCTACACACACATCCATGCAGTGTGTGATCCCGTAATTTGCACACAGTGTGATCAGGCAGTCTATACACCTGAGTGGCGTAGCTCTATAAGAGCATATGTGCATGTGCAGGGGAATGTCTTCCACAGGCTGGTCACATTCTTTCCTGTCCCTCCCTTCTCCTAATAAAACTCTTATAGTGGGTTTTGTCATGCCTGGTGGCTTTTCTCGCAAGGTAACAGCCCCGCTTAATGAATAACATTGCGCCGCCACATTAAAACCAGCACCGGCACCACGCTGCTCGAGGCTGCCAGCTCACCTGGAATGGATACTTATTTTGACAGGGAATGACACCATCATCATTCTTCACTATTTCCACACACTTGATTTTCGAAATATCGATGAATCCCTTTCTGTATTTTTTCTGTGAAAAGAGAAAAAGAAGAGATGTGTCACAACCACAGGACATAAGAAGACTATTTAATAATTATATTTGATGATGGAATTAGTGATTCAAAAGATTACTACTTCAGAGCAGCCACAATAACACAAAGACAGGCCGGTTGGTAAAGAGCTTGTCTTACAAGCATAAGGACTTGAGTTTGATGCCCCAGAAACCATGTAAAAACAGCCAGGCACAGGTGCTTGTAAGCCAGATGTTAAGGAGGCAGATTCCTGGGGTTCAGTGACCAGCCAGCCTAGCTGAGTGACAAATTCCAGGCCAATGGAAAAACAACAAAAAAAAAAGGTAGGCAGTTACTGAGAAACAAAGCTATCTACAGACCTACACACACACACACACACACACACACACACACACACACACACACACACACACACACACGAGTACAATTTCCTTAATAACTACATAAATTACATTTTCCTAACCTGTTAAAAATTGTTCAGAATATTACCACTGTGGTAACTTTAATGAAAGTCACTAGATCCTTCCACTTCTAGTGATGAACTTGTTCTGTCCTTGCTTCAAAAATCAAGAATAAAAAGCTCTGAAAGAGAGCTACAGACCCCCTTTCATTGCCATCTTCCCCTCCAGACACACCTCTTGTTCAACCTCCTGACAACAGTGCTCATTTAAAAAAATAATAAACAAAGACCAAGCACACAGTACTCCATTTACCGAGACACGGACACACGCTCTAACCAACCGCACTTCCTCCTGTGTCCCTCCTCTATGGAGGGGCCTCCCTTGGACCAGCACAGAGTTCAGGATCATTGATGGGAAGTGGACTGCCCATAGACACATAAAACTCAGCCTCCTCAATAGTGTGGAAGCTGGACTTCCTCCTCCTCCTCCCAGTCTCCCTGCTCACTGCAGGTCTGCCCACCCACACCCTTGAGCACATTAACCTCATACCTGGAAATTCATTCCAGGGAAGAATCAAAAATAATAATAATAATAATAATACAAAAAGCACATGTAAGGAACCAGGAACGTGTATGCATGAAAATCTAACAACAAATACAGTATACAGATAGAAAACAATTGCTAAATAATAAAACTGATGCACTGCACACAAGAAGTCTTCCAAAGATTAGGGTTAATTTTTTTGGGATATGTATATAATAAAGAAGAGAAAGAAAGAACACAACTGCACACCCCTGGAATCAGCTACTGAAAATTATTTTCTTTAAGCTGGCCCTGACGGCACAGGCTTGTATCCTAGATACTCAGGTGGCCGAGGCAGGAGGATCAAAAGTTCAAGGACTGCTGGGGCTATACAGAAAGTTTAAGGCTAGCCTGAACTACTACATGAAACCTATCTATAAAAAAGCAAAAGAAAAGGCAGGGAGGAGGGGTATGGAAAGGGCAAGTGTAGCTCAGCAGAGCACTTGCCTAGCCTACAGTAGGCCTATGGTTCAATCCACAACACAAAAGTAAAAAATAAAAAGTTAGAAAGAAAATTATTTCATCCAACACTCCGCAGTCTTTCCTCTGGCCACAGCTGTGTTCTGTCCTCTGCACTATGCCCCAAAACCTACACGACATCTTCAAAGATACGACTCCACAGTCTGGACACAGTGGCGCACACCTTTAATCCCAGCCCTCGGAAGGCAGAGGCAGGTGGATCTCTGTGAGTTCAAGGCCAGCCTGGTCTACAGAGTGAGTTCCAGGACAGCCAGGGCTACATAGTGAGACCCTGTGGTCTTGGGGTGGGGGGACTTCACATCTGCCCCACTCCAGGCTGTCAATCAGCAGCTCCTAGCACACTAGCCTTATTTCCCTGTTAGCCACTAGTACACATATTCTCTGTCCGCTGTTCAATATTCACCCCTCCCCCTTCCCTTCTTCATCCTTGTTTCCCTCCTTCCTCTCCCTCCCTCTTTCCCCCCCCTGCACCTTCAGATACTCTGATCAGCCTTCGGTTTGATCCCTGGTCCCTTGAAAGTGGGCTGCAGGTCGCCTGTCCTCTCCACACCTAGCTGGGCCCTCCCTGCCGCTCCCCAGTCCCATGCATCTCCTCCAGAGGCCACCAGCACTGCCAGACGAGCATTCCCCCTCCCTTGTCCTTCCCTGGGGGGACAAGCTCTGATACTTTAGTGAAAGGTCCACGCCCACTCCAAGGACAAGTTCCTCCCTCCTGCACCTCAGTGGCACTTTAGCTAACCCCGTTTCTAAAACAAGACAAAGAGGACACAGTAGCTGAAAGACGGCGGCTGACATTTCACAGAAGCATTCCAGCTCTGTGCTCACAGCATCCTGTGGGGTAGCCCTAGTCTCCTCACTCTGCAGGTGATGAGATCATCTCTCACTTAAGCTGAATACAGTCCGAGGACCTCTACTGCTGCCAAAGCCCTCTAGGATGCCCCCCAGCAAGAGGTGAGAGGGCTGTGGAGTCAAGTCCCGATGGACAGTGGGGATGTTGAGCATAGACTTCCCTAAGCCCTGGTTCAAGTTCAAGGTCAGCCTGGTCTACACAGCTAGTTCCAGGCCAGCCAGGGCTACATGGAGAACAAGCTGCTAGGCTATTCTCTTCCAGACATTTGCTTCTGCCTATAGACGTCGAAACCAGCACCTCCCTTTGGGCCAGCCAACGGCTTCATTCTTCTCCTTCCTTCCTGTGAGAACAACTGAATGCTCAACCTACACTTCCTTCCCACCCACTCCCCTGACCACTTGCAACCTTCAACCCCCACAGTTGGCTAGGAGCAACCACAAGAAAACAAAAAAAAAGTCAGCGATGACCAAGTCAGCGGACTTGCTGGCCTGCCTCTGCTTGCTGACCATAAATAAGAGGGCCGACATGCTCTTCTTCGGTGGCTCCGCCTTTGGCCCATCCTGATTTTCCTTCTCTTGGCTTCTCAATCTGCATTGGCCTTGTGCCAACAGTGGTATGAAAAACAACAAACAAAAAATCACAAAACAAGAAAAGCTCACTATCCCAGGAGTCTTCAGCCCTCAGTTACCCTGCAAGGTAAGACCCATTTTACAGCTACCCAAACTAACCAGCCCACTGGAGCGTCCCTGTGGGAGAAACTGACACAGAAGTCACTATACCATGCACTAAGTGCTGCATACAAAAAAGATGCTCAAAGGCCAGGGGTGGTGTCTCATGCCTTTAATCCCAGCACCCGGCAGGCAGATCTCTTGTGAGTTCGAGACCAGCCTGGTCTACAGAGTGAGCTGTGGGACAGCCAGGGCTACACAGAGAAACCCTGTCTCAAAACAACAGAAAGATACTCTAAGAACGGTGACTTTTATGTCAGAAGTGGGATAGCAGAAGGAGAAACCCCAGCAGAATGAACAAGCTATGCAAAGTAAATCACATTCCTACATGACTCTCATCATCTGTAAAATGGGAATAATAGTGTCAATCCCCACAGGCTTGGTATGAGGATTAAATGAGCTAATACTGCAGATGTGCTTAAAAGAGTGTCTGGCTCAAAGTATCAGACTTGGGATTATTTGCTAAATAAAAAGGCAAAAGCAGACAGAGTGATCGAGGACAGCATAAGGCAGGATGGAAAGGTGACCAGGGGCCTTGTAAATAACCTGCTATACAATGTCTGGTCAGGCAGAGTTACCCAGCCTGCTCCTAGGGACTACACTCACTATCAGGTAGAAGAAATTGCAAGACTATCACCCTTCTGTTAGCAGGTCACATGTGTTCACTGTGAAACCTTAGAAATAGCAGAAAGTCCTGTGAACCCTCATCCCTAACCCCCGGAGGGAACATCGCTGCCCTTGGGAGACTATTCTCGCCAGCCAGCTCACCAGCCCTGCAGCAGGAAGGTGTGCTCTGCTTCCACAACACCTATCTCCAATCCAATCGCATCAGCCTTGGGCAACTGCCAGCCAGTGTCCCAGGTAGGTCACTATTTCCAGAAAACTGGGGATGACTTTGATACTGGACTAATTTATACATGTGCTCTATGAAAATCTCCTAACGTGCTAATTAGTATTTTGGATCCAAAGACCTTCCAGTAACACTGTCAGTGGTAGTGGAGAGACACAGATCAACACAAACACAGGGAGCCTGAGGACCTGCATTCAGGTAAAGCCAGCTCCCTGCTTCCATCACAGAAAAGAATTTCACAGGAGCCAGGGTGAAGCAAAGGTTACAAGTTTGCTAAGTGGAGATAAGGGATAGCACGACCTTAAGAGAGGATATGCGCTTAAGCCTTAAACGCGGATAGTTGGGGAGGAGCAGGAGGGAGAACTTAAGCATGTGTTCACTCAGGAGGGTTCCACTCAGTTTCTAGCAGGGAGGCAGATACTTGTACACCCTTGCTGAGGAACGGTTCTCTTCCAGTCTGTCCTCTTCCCCATGGCATGCAGCTATCAAAGAACCCAAGGCAATGGAGGCTCAGGGAGGAAGGAGACGGCCCGACAGCCAGATAAGGCAAATTACCGCTGGCAAGCAGCACAGACTGACTGCCCCCGCACCAGACTTTGTGGCTCAGCTACACCGCTCAAAGGATATGACTTACAGTTCAAAGATAAAACGAAGTTTTAAAGCCAGGCGGTGGTGGCACAGGCCTTTAATCCCAGCACTCAAGAGGCAGGAGCAGATGGATCTCTGTGAGTCTGAGGCCAGCCTGGTCTACAGACTGAGTTCCAGGATAGCCAGGGCTATGCAGTGAAACCCTGTCTTTAAAAACAAGTTTTAAATTTAAGTCAAAAAATAAAAATCATATGAGCTCATGAGCTGCTCCACTTAATCCTCTTAATGAATATCCTTTTATCGATGAAACGGATTTAGGAGATGCACTGTTTAGATTTAGGGATGAGAGAAGAGTGCTAATGAGGTTATGATCAAGGTCAAGGACATTCTGACCCTAAGTGAGAGGAGTTGATCTGTCGTTTTGAACATCCCTGAACGAATGGCCCTTAGGAGGACATTATCTCAGCAGGCAATCTTGACTTTATCCCTTGTGCTGAAATTTCTTGGACTCTCAGACAGC